GGTCTTCCCAAATGGACTTCTTGTTACCCAATTTCAACAGATTTACACAGCCACAAGAACTTATCTAGTGTTTGCACTGCCCGATTTGTCAGTTTGCATTTCTCTGTGTAATGCTATACTTACACAGATGCCCTATGACCTGCCAGTTATGCTGGTGCAACTGCCATTACAGGTATCCTAACCCAATCGTTAGTAACAGTTGCCGTAATACAAATATTACATAGGTAATTATCCAAATTTTTGCTGTCGATGGGATTTGAACACCCAACCTACCACTTGGAAGGTTGACAACTTGACCACTTCACTAGGTCACCACACCCTTGTCTAAGCACTTTTTATGGTGCTCAATTTCCAATAACTCTTATAAAAAATAAAAAATCTGTATGGTTCAGTGTTGCAGAACAAACATTCGGCAATTTGGAATGTATTTGGTTGTGAAAGGCTTTCTTATCTCAGAAGCAATGCTAGTGTTGAGGATATAGTAAGATGAAAGCAAAACCAAGAAGTATATGATTGCTATTGTGTACTCTATAAGTAAGATGATAAAAGTGTTTTTTAGGTTGCAATTATTGCAAGAACTGCATTCAGCATAGCTGCTGCTTCTACTCTCACAAACCATCATTGTGCCTTCACACTAGCTGTGTATGACATTATATTGAATCCCCAATCAAAAAATATTGTCTGTAGCAAAAGTCGAATTAAGTGTCACATGATGTGCTATTTGGTAAGTATTTGTAACATATAAATTATAACTACAAAATAAATATTAATCTTTATTATACTAAAATGACTTTGATAACGGCAGTTCTAATTAAGAATCAACTAACACAATCATTAATAATGAGCTTGCTTCAGGTTCTTAAAAAGCTGAACAATTAACACAAATGCAATCAATGCAGGCCAATTCCAACACTGAACCTGACCTCAAACAACTCTCTTGTTCTGAAGTAATTCTTTAATTCTTTTGCAGAATGTACAGGATGAATTGTTTGGGATCTATTAGTAGAGTTGTTTTTTTTTGTAATTTTTAATGTATTGTATGCAAAATGTATCTCATATATATAAAATAAATTGTATTCAATTTAAATTTATAAATTTTATTTGCTTTAAGTTAATAAATATAAAAATGAATCACTGTAATATTTAATATAATGATTTGTGTATATCAATTCTAATATTATAAATATAGCAGTACATATTAATTATAATCAGCTTATGGCTATCTATCGATTATAATTAATATATAACTGAAGTGATTATAATCGATAAATTACCTAACATGATTCTAATCATTTAGATTATATATTGATTATAATCACTTCAGTTATATATCGATTTATATTTTTTTTATTATATATTGATTAGTATCATAATCATTATAAATCAGCAGGAGTAATTTATATTATTATATATCCTTTGGTTACCAATCGATATATAACTCTCTATTTTTTTCCCTGATGCAGTTGATTTAATTTTATATAATATGCTATAGTCAGACTAACATTTGCAATTATAAGCATTACCTATTAAACCATTAAATTATATTATTTTCTATTCTTGTAAAGTTTACTAAAACCCTAATATTTATCTAACATATTACCCTTACTAAACCCTCTTTATTCAGAACTGATAAAACTTCGCAAACTACTAATCCAAATGACCTAATATAATATAATTTTGTATTCTTTTCTCTGACAAATCCAATAATCTATTTAATATATATAATTTTTTTACATACTTGTTATTTGATTTATCTGTCTAGCTCTCTAGATAATGTTATATAGTTTTTATCAATCCAACAGTATTATTAAAAGTTCATGCTACCTCTTTACTTAGGAATTTCCAAGTATACATTATACTATTATACTTAACTGTTGAAATTGTAACTCTATCTTTAAATCAAATAAAAATTATAAAAATAATTTTTCAAAAAACTTTTTTGCAAACGAAATTAATTAAAAAAACTTCGAATTAAGAATAATCAACTTATTATAAAATCGTTTTTTTTGATTTTTCCGCGTTATGCTTATAATGTATCCACCTTTCAAGGATGCATTTCGCCGAAAGGTCTCTTTATGACGCACCTAACAAATCACTTTTCATGTGCGAACTTAAAGTTTTTTAGGTAAAATTTTTAAAATGTCGATTTGTGCAACTTATGAAAATCATATGATAAATTTTAGATGTGACTGGTAATATAAATCTTATTTTCTTGTATAATAATTTTATTTTAGACCCTATTTAAAAAAAAATACGATATATAATAAAAACGGTTGTTTAAATTAAATTAATTAAATACTGTATATTTTTGCAAGATAATATCAAGCAGCTATTATTACTTAATAGGTTATATTCTTTAATTGCAAAAATAATGATTAGTACTAATTATCACATAAAGGTTAAGTTTTTTTTTTTTTTGTTTAATAGTTATAGTTAAAATAATAGCAACTGTTTACACTAAAAAATTGAATTATAAATATACATATGAAATGAGATATAAAAAATACATATAAAGATGTCAAAGCAATATAAATAATTGAAAATCAAAACATTATATGTACATCGACAAAAAAGATTTATTTGTTTTTTTTAAAGTACACTTTGTGGTTTAAGATCTCTCTTTTTACGGTTTAGTTCTAATCTCTTATGTATCTCATCCGATTCATTATCTGTCAAAGATAATTCTTCAGTAATATTCTCATCGTCTGAATTTGGTCCTAATTCACCACTTTTTGCTCTTAATTCTTCTAATTGACCCATTAATCCTGCAACAACGGCTTTATCAACTTCCTCATTTTGTCGAGCCTCTTCTCTAATTTCTCTTTCAAGATCTCCTAATAATTCACCAAGGACTTGATCAGGAAACATTTGTCCATAAGTTGCACCAAAGAAGTGAGACAATTTACGGATTCCCTTCAATTTTGCTTGTTTCTGATCTATTTGAGGTAAATCAAATTTCAATGAACTACTAGGATTAGGAGTTACAGGAGCAGATAATGGAGCAACAAATTCCTCCTCGTAGTCATCATCATTATTTTCACCATCACTATCTGCCATGTAATCGATGAGATCATACATAGCATTTCTATCATTTTCCATTAAATATTCAAGAGACATTATACTTCTACGATGAATGTCAATGGATGATATTGAATCAGTAAAGTTTCTGGAACGTAAATTCTGAAATATTAGATCTTGAGGAGGAGCTTCCCCAAACAATTTTTCTAACTTAATTGCTCTGTGAAGATGACGTTTTCTATCTACAGCAGATAACCTTGGAAGGGTTAATGTTGCTTGAGCATCAATATTACTATTTGATGAATTCTTTTTCGAGGTAAATGATAAAGAATTTGGTCTTCCTTTAGACTTTCGTTTAGGGGGATCCGGTAATGGATCTGGAAGTAATGAGGTCTTATAATTATCTTTTTCACCCAATACAATATCAATAGGAACGTGTTCACCCAGAAAATTATAAAGTTTTTGTAATTTCTTTCTTCGATATTCCTTAGTGTCTTTATTAGCGGCAGTTAAATGAGAATGTTTTGAATTTGTGAAAGAAGTGACAGAATTTGAGGGTTGATGTTTGATACAATTTTGATCATCGTTTTCATCTGAATAAGTTGGAGGAGTTGTTGGTGGAGTTATGATATTGTTTGGTGAAGGTAATGGGGATATAATCATTGAATCAGAGGCCCTACGAATAAGATGAGGTTTATTTGATAATCCAACATCGCTATTAAATCTATTTTTATTATTCCATAATAAACTTGGAGATTGTGTAGCTGGAATGGTTATAGTTTGACGAATCATGTTTTCATCCAAAGCCTCACCAAGCATTACTTGTAATTTTTTATTCTTTTTAACCATTCTCCTTCGATCATCAGGACTTAATACATTCAATGAGAATGAATGGATGTTATTACGATCGTTATTATTAGGTGTAACATTATTATCAAGAGATCTTGGTAAAGAATCTTTGAAACTATTTCTATCTTTTAATCCACGACCTAATATAAATTCCAGTTTATCTTTTCTTTTTTTCTTAATCCATATTTCTTTAGCAAATTTTCTACTTTCAGAATCATTGGAAAACATGCTCATCGCATCATGATCCTCATCGTCAAATCTTAATTTTCCATCACCATATCTGAATTCACCTGGTAAAACTACAGGCTGATCTTTGATTCTTCCAATCTTTTCACCAAATACCCAACGAAGTTTTCGCTCTTTTTTAATTTTTCTCATTTTTTGAGCATTGGTCATTCTATTTTCACTATCAAAATAACCATTTAAAGATACAGTTTCACTTGAATTTTTATCAGTAATATTTTGACTTCTTCTTTTTCCATTGTTATCAAGAAGGATAGTCTCTGGAAAATATTGAGAAAGAATGGAATGTAAAGTTTGTTCTTTATAATGATGAGAAGTTGGAGCAGGATTGCAATTATCATCAAGTGCCATGGTGATTGCGAGCATTAATGACATATTTGGATGGAAATAACGACCAAGTGGTTCAGTCATTTCACGGTCTTCATATTCTTTAGAGTCTAAATTTAATAAATATAATCAAAGTTAAAAGTTAGAAAGTATTTATTAATCAGGAATATATATATATACATGTATATATACATGTATATATACATATATATACACATATATATACTGTATAATTATATAATGAGCATCCTTTAACACATCATATGTTGGTTCAAAATAATGCTCATGCGCGTCCTTAAATAACATGCATTTTGTATAACACTTATTAGTGGATTTAACATACAGGCGACATTGTCTAATAGCATACTGTCTAATAGCATACTATCTAATTGCATATACTCTAAATGCATAAAAAATGGGTCTCATGACTTAAATGCATATACTGTTTATATGCATAAAAAAGTCACTGACAGATAACATGCGATTAGATAGTATTGATTGTAAGTATATTTTAACCAATTATTTGGAAATAAAACATATAGAATCTCGAAATAACTTGCACAAAAAATATGCGTTATTTCTTCATGATTATACAGTATATATTATTAAGTTTAATTAAAAATATTTACCATCCATTTTTATCTTTTCACATTCTTTCCATTCAGGACTTGATTCAAAACGCGTAAAAGAATGACCTTTCATTAATTGATAAACAGCTTCTTGAGCTTCATCAAACATATTTCTTTCTACTATACAATCATCATCCAATGGCCAAGTAATATCTTTCCTTATTTCATCACTAAGATTAACTTGTAAAGGGGCATTTGTTCCTATATAAGTTAAATAGATATATTTTGCATGAATAATGGCACTTTGTTGATCTTCAAAGTAATTATCTTCTATTTCACAAGTTCCAGCAGCGAAAAGTTCAATGTCAAGCCAAAATAACAAATTTTCAACGGAAAATTCTCGAATAGAGAATTTTTGAAAATAATTTAAAGCAAGCACATTAGAAAGGATAGATCTAAAATTAGATTGAGAACTTTGTGAAATGGGCAATGGACTTAATGAAAGATGAGGGTCAGATATGGGAGTAGTTTGACTTAAAGGAACGGAGGTATCATTGTTCTGTAAACTATCATTGTTAGAAATAATTGGTAAGCTGAATCTGCGACTTTCTCTACATTTATTCAACATAAAATCTTTGTCAAGACCAAGATCAAAATCTTGGAATTCAAAGTCAAGATCAGTATATTCAATACCATTAGAACATCGACTACAACCTATTTATTAAAAAAAAACGAATCATAATTATAAAAATAAATAAACAAATAAATTAAATTAATTAAATTAATAATAATGATAATGATAAATACCTTCATAAACATTAAGTGCATTAACAATATCACCATGTTCTAAAACATCACCTACGAGATCGCGAAATCGCAATGCAACCATACTAACATCATAAAGTAAACCTACTTCAAGAGGTTCATGAATAGATCTTTCTTCAATACCACCATATTTAAAAGCATATTCAGCCTCGATTTGTCTGGCCAACCTTTCTACTGTATATGTTTTTTCAATAGTAACAGGAAATGATATAGATGGAGAAATATTTACGGTAAGTTTTATAAAAGAGGAAATATGTTGCATAGTTCTTGATAACCTCTTTTTATGAATGTGAGTAAATTGACGAGAGGAACGAACGGAAGGAGAAAATAAAGGGGAATTAGTGTCATGTATAACATTGTTGTTATCAGGATTAGGACTAGAAGGATCAAGTAAAGGAGAGTCGCTATTAAGGGTAGAAATTTCATGTGCAAGAGTGCTTGCAAGACTTGTATGAGAATTTATCCTTGAATCATTGTCCACACTATATATATGTTTATGTGTTGTAACATGCGACGATACAGAAGACAATGGATTTATCTCGTGATTTGGCATTGTCCCCGAAAAAGAAAAATTATCAGCGTATGCCATGACACGCCTTCTTGCAGTTCGTAGCGAAGCTGTGTTATATGATTCAGTGGCAAGATTATTACTGTATGGTAAAACAAAACCGTCAGATGAATTTTGATAATTCATTGTTCTAGTGGAATCTGCTGCTTTATATGTTTACAGAGGCAAGAACCAAATTTTCACACCGAGAATTATATTATCACGAATGAGTCAGTGTAAAATTAAGCATGTAATATAAAAGAATGAACACATTACAGGAAAAAAAATAAATAAATATAAAAAGAAAAAAGATTCGGCTGAAAAGAGTAAAAAATGGTAAGTGAAGAAATATGATGAAATTATATATTTTTGATATGTTTTTCTTTTTACATATCGGTTCCAAATATAGGAAATCGACTTCAAATAAAGGAAATTAAATTGTGAATCATTACAATGAAACAAGGGGTGATTCCGTACCCACCATTATTATAATTATGTGTAACAAATTAAAGTACCTAATTTTCGATATCAACCAATAAGAAACCAAAACGATGGATTTCGCAGTGTAGTATGTAACCGTTACCGATTCTGGTTTTGTGTCAATATACTAAATATAATTATTTATATAAATATAAAATAAATATACGTAAAATAAATATAAAATAAATATAAAATAAATACATATAAACAAACTTAGTTTAAAATATGCTGTTCTATTTATCGATCTATTTTTCATTCAATAATATTATTTACGCATAATTCGTATCGTTACCTAAATTCGTACGTAACAGGTATCTGGTATGTACGTACATATACATTATACATACTAGTTCCCTGTTTTATTTGTTCGGTAAGACGTATTGCATATAATGACATTCTTGTTAGCCATATTAAATCATGTGAGTGCATTTATCGTTATGAGTTTGACATTTAAAAAAAGATGCGTTTAAACTTTATAAAAGGAAACAAGGAGATAGTTTTACGCATATTTGATTTTTTACTTATTTATCCATTTATTTGTTTAAAAATATAAAGGTATACCGAATACATATAAAGATCCGAAACAGAAATAGACTAATACGTAAAAGAAATTAGAATTTGTAAATAATCTATGACGAACAAAGTTTTCAGGGTATCCGAAATAGATCATCGTAAAACTCTATAAGCAGCTTCTTTTATAATATATATATGTATATAATGTATATATAAAGTAAGATCTGATATCTTATGATTGATCATGTGCTATATATCTGTATTTTTTTTTTTTTTTTTATGTTGTGGAAATAAAATATAACAGCAATATTATTTATCGCAGATAATATATTAATGTACAGTATATATATATACATATATATGTATGTAGCACATTAAAATAAACTACGATAAATCAATAAATGAATAGATCAGATATATATATCAATGACCAAAAGAAGACATCAGAAGATTAATTAATTCCCTGCATGGGTTGGGAAGCCGACGCTTGACCTTCATCACCTGGTTTGCCATCACCTGGTTCACCATCTTCTGGTTCTTTAGGTTCTTTCGTCCTTTGTTCCCTAATAACTGCTTCAACAACTTGTCCGATTCTTCCATGAAATCTTTTCAACAATTCTTCATAATGAGAATTGTTTTCTGCCGGGAAGGACAATCCATTCAAAATTTCTAATTTCTCTGCGATTTTTTCAGGTGGAATTTCCCCATGATCACCATGACGTCCATGATGTCCATGTCCATGCCTATGATGGAAGTATGGATGCGCATGAATACGTGGTCCAAACCCATAATGATGTTTAGGTCTCTCATCACTACTAGAATTTAATTTCACTTTCTTATCACACTTTCTATGATGATGTGGATGATGTTCATGCATATGTTGATCATGATTTTCTCCAGCATTAGGGCCTGATTTATCCATTTCAGGCCCCTTTTCAGATTTATCCACAATTATTTCGGATTCATGTCCTTTATCTTGTTTATCATGTTTATGCATCTTGTGAAAATGTTTATGACCGCGGAATTGATGGCCACGATGATGATGATGACCTGCTTCTCCATGTTTAAATACTCTATGCATACGTGCATAGCCTCTGCCATGATGACCGCGGAAACGTTCCGTTAAAGGACATGCGCTTGATCCACCAGAAGATTCAAGTTTAACTGACCCTGAATAACTCCGTCTTGGTCCATGATGTGACCGTTTACGAGAAACGAAAAAGTAAATTTCGGGATCAGAGCTACTACAATCATCTGTATGTCCTTGTTCATGAACTTCATCTGCAGAATAAGCAACTTCTTCACATGCTTCTCCACATGTTTCTTTACAGGTTCCTTGTTCTTCAGTCTCTTCAGGTTCAGAATGAGAATATAAGATTGTTTCATAAGATTCGTCATCATCAAGGCTTATTTGTTCAAATGCTGCGGCAGTTTCATCCATAGTCGGTTTAGTTTTCAATACAATTTTAATAACGGTACCAGCCGAACATTGAGAATTAACCTCTGCAAGTTCTATATCGCTTGAAAGTGTAATATTATCTCCATCTTCGTCAGTATAAGTAGCAATCACTTGAGCATGGGACGGGATTTGGAAAAGGGTTCTAAATTGAGATTCTAATTCTGTCCAAGTAGTATCAGCTCCGATAGCAAACCGACGAGAAACTGACCCATAAATAACTTTAATAGTTGCCATATCGATGTTTATATATTGGTCCGTTCAAAAAAAAAAAAAGAAAAAAAAAAGAAGTCTGAAGATAAAAAAAAAAGGTAGGTGGCTTCCAATATTTTTTACGGAAGTGTTTTTTTAATGAGAATAGAGGCTTTTCAAGTCTGCCCTTTTATAATGCTTTTTTTTACGTATACGTAATAACATCGGACAAAGTTTTTCCGAAATGTAGTTAGCTGTACTACAATCATTACATTTTTATATTGTTCAAAAAAGTTTCAACGCCTCCGATTACGTAAAGGATGCTTAGTATCATACGCAGTGATCGGCGCAGTAGCACTTTTTTTTTAGTTTGCGCCAATAAAAATTATTTGAATTTATAACACTGTTTATACGTAAGTACATATGTATAAATTCTCAAGCGATTTTATCGTTATTATAAAAATTTTATTATACATATCAACAAATAATTTGTATGCTAAATTTGTCTGATTTTTATAAGCAGAATTCACAGGGGTATTATGAAATTTGAGCATACGATGAGCTCATAGTAAATTGCAACAGTAGGCTTAAGAAACCACGTTCACGAGACATAAAGTACCATAGTCTAATAATATATGTACTTTCTTATTTTTATATTTAAGATGAGATATGTAATAAATTTAAAAAGAATGTGGCCTTTGAAGTTAGGTTTTTGTTTCAGCTTTTGATATATAATATTTGCTTGTTATTTGGTTTATCAAGTCTGTTTAAAAACTATAAACTATTAGAATTGTTAAAAAAGTTTACAAGTTATGATTACAAGATATAAGTTTTAATTTAAACAAAACTTGTTAAGGTTTAAAAATCTTGCTATTAGAAAGAATTTTAAACTATTTGAACTTGAATTATTACTAGTATAATAGTTTAAAATTTAATGAGTTAAAATTAAATATATTATTAAAAATAACAATTTATTAAAATCTAAGCAGATTAAACTAGACTTTATTATTAATAATACATATTAGTTTTGTGAGAATTTATTATATTTAATATTGTCAGATTGGATTAATTAAATTATAAATTAAAACAATGAAATTAATAAAAAAAATTTTTTTATAAAAAATTTATTATTATTTTTTTACTTTTGTTAAGATTAATGTTAGCAGTAATTATTATCTTTATTTTTTTTTTTTTGATGTTAAGAAATTATTATCTTTATTATATTTTTAATTATATATATATATATATAATTTGTATAAAAATAAGTGTACAACTAGTTATCTATATAATTTTTAATTGTTTATTTAAGTAATCTGTTTAAAGGTTTTATATTAAATGTTATATCTGTAATTTACTAAAAGATTACTTATTTAAATATTCTGATCTTATATTACATTAAATAAGTAATATCAAAATTTTTATACATTTAAGTATTATTTAACTCAACATAGGATTTTTTTTAAGTACATCTATCAAATCATTATTTTTTTTCAAAACATATCATCTAATTATAAGCTTTCAGATATTTCTTTTATTAACTAATTTATTTATTTTACAACCTTATTAATAGAGTTATGTTCTTGTAGAATTTACTTAAACATAAATACTAACTTTATAATATATTTTTAGTATTTATTATATATTTCTATTTTGTCTTTAAATTTTCAATTCAAATAATCTAATAAAATTATAATTTACTTTTAATATATTAAGTTTATTTTAATATCTTTTTCTTTTAATTCAATTCTGACAAACTAACTAATAATATTCTTATTTAGAATTTTTATCTATTCAATTCTTTTATATTGATATCTATTTTTTAAATCTAAACTTTATAGTAATACTATTAAAAATTTATATTATTTGTTTACTCAGGTCTTTTTAAATAAGTTTTTGTTTTCTTAATTTTATAAATTTATATAACTATAAAAACTTATCTTAAATTTTGTATTATTTAAGTCAAAAAATAATAACAAAGTAAATAAGTTTCTATATAATCTTAATTATATAAAAAAATACAAACTAATATTAAATAATGCAAATTTAAAATAAGTTTTTATAACTATATAAATCTATAAAATTCAAAATAACTAAAACTTAAAAAAAAATCTAAGTAAAAAATATAACAAATCTTTAACAATACTACTATAAAAGTTAAATCTAGAAAATAGATACTAATATAAAAGAATCAAATAAGTAAAAACTTTTAGATAAAAAATATTATTAACTAGATTGTCAAAATTTAAATCAGAAAAAAAGAATATCAAGTCAAATTTAATATATTAAAAACAGATTAAATTCTACTAAGTTATCTAAATTGAGAATCTAAAAACAAAATATAAATATATTATAAATATTAAAAATATATTGTAAAGTTAGTATTAAAAAGAGATGAGGTCTTATAACCTAGTGGTATAGATGCTTCTCCTTCTACAAACAAGGTCAACAGTTTAATTCTAGCTAGAGGCAAAAATTTTGTAATCTATAGAAGCATATAAATATATACAAAACTCTGTAACTAAGTCCATATAAATAGAATATCAATGTATAAAGAAGTTCTTAAAAAGAAGTTTCCCAATATAGAGAATTGGTACTTAATATGAGAAAAGTGATGAACATACTAGAAATGAAAAGAAAGCATACTAACAAGTAATATAATAAATATAAAAAAAAACTACAAAAAGAAAATAGACTTACTGAAATTTGAATATCTTTGATATTGAAACTGATTTAGTAAATACAGAATATACTAAATTGAATCTAAGTAGTAATCTTAGTACTAGCTTAGTAAACTTGTATCAAAGATAAATTTGAAGGAATATGAATACTTAGTAATATCTAATAGGATGATACTTTAATATAAATAATAATTTCAACCAACCCAACCTACAATATCCCATATACTCTAAATGATGGAACTATATCTCTTGAATCTCTTTTTTCCTCCCATTCAAAATACCCTATTTTCAAAAAACAACTTAGATATCATAAACTCCTCTTTTTGGATCAACTCACTACTCATGACAATTCATATCTATTGCACTAACAACATATCTCACCTAGACTTAATAAAATTCCAAAAGATGTTATACCACAATGGTTTACTACCCTTGAGGACATTACTACAAGTCACTCCTATGAACATACTCTTTATGATCACTATAACCTACCTTTCATAAACTACTTTTGCTACTCTACTGATCATTTCACTTCCAACACTAAACCTTGGTTACTTACTGTTCTTAATAATCAAATAATTATTAACAAGACCAGAAGGCATAATACACCTATTGGCCTTATTCTCATTAATCACTAGCATTGCTTATTTCAGTCTCAATTCTCTAATTTTTATCTTATTCCTTCTTCTACTACTACATTATGCACTGGATGCCATCTTAATTTAAATACAATCGCTAACAAATGTACTATCTTTATTCCTACTAACTTGGCTACTAAGCTACTTTGTCGCATCAATCCTAACAAAACTCTCAACCTTCATGCAAACTTTCTTGATATTGCATACTCAGTTGCCCTTCAACATCCTTTACATATTCCACCTCTTCTCTCACTTACAATTAATCTATAACAACTACTTCCTATTTTCGAAACATGTCAACTTGTCAATAATCTCCAAACTATCGCTAACTCAAATCACAATTTATTATCTATTTCATTCTATATTGATGATTCTGTTATTGATTTTGGTACCTCATAGTGCTCTATGGGCATAGGTTGGGTTCAAGTTAATAACTTTACAACTATTAACTCATTTCAGGCACAAGTTAAACTGTGGCCATGCTCCTTCAAAGCTGAAATTCTTGTTATTCTTTTAGCAATTATTTCCGCCCTTAGACATTGGTTAGTTTACATATTTACTGACTCACAATCAGTAATCTCCAAATACCATAATATTTGCCAATCAGCATTTATTCTTTCTTATACTCATACTCTATATTTCTCCATCTGGCAAACACTTATCAACTTTATTAAGTCTTATGAAATCCAACTTATTTTTCACAAAGTTACTGCACACCAAGATGACTCATTCAACAACCTTGCTGATCAACTTACTCATAATCACCAAATATTACCCTACCTAATATTCTTAACTAACAACCCTTATAACCTCAATTATACTCCTTTTATCGATAAATTTCTCATTGAAATTTCTATTCGACACTCTATTCGAACTATATGCCAAGCTCACATTATATCACTCTGAACATCTCAATACTATTTTCAACAATGGTCTATTATTGTATCTGATATTAACTAGGAAGCTACATGGCTCTATATCAACAACAACCAAAAAATTTCTAATTTTGCTCACAGCTTTTATTCATCTACTTTGA